GTATAACAGAGCTCCACAGCAATAATACTCCCAGTAATGTGACTGAGTGTATAACAGAGATCCACAGTAATAATACTCCCAGTAATGTGTCTGAGTGTATAACAGAGCTCCACAGCAATAATACTCCCAGTAATGTGCCTGAGTGTATAACAGAGCTCCACAGTAATAATAATCCCAGTAATGTGTCTGAGTGTATAACAGAGCTCCACAGCAATAATACTCCCAGTAATGTGTCTGAGTGTATAACAGAGCCCCGCAGCAATTATACTCCCAGTAATGTGTCTGAGTGTATAACAGAGCCCCGCAGCAATAATACTCCCAGTAATGTGTCTGAGTGTATAACAGAGCCCCACAGCAATAATACTCTCAATAATGTGTCTGAGTGTATAACAGAGCTCCACAGCAATAATACTCCCAGTAATGTGTCTGAGTGTATAACAGAGCCCCACAGTAATAATACTCCCAGTAATGTGACTGAGTGTATAACAGAGCTCCACAGCAATAATACTCCCAGTAATGTGACTGAGTGTGTAACAGAGCCCCACAGCAATAATACTCCCAGTAATGTGACTGAGTGTATAACAGAGCTCCACAGCAATACTACTCCAGGTAATGTGTCTGAGTGTATAACAGAGCTCCACAGCAATATTACTCCCAGTAATGTGTCTGAGTGTGTAACAGAGCTCCACAGCAATAATACTCCCAGTAATGTGACTGAGTGTATAACAGAGCTCCACAGCAATAATACTCCCAGTAATGTGTCTGAGTGTATAACAGAGCTCCACAGCAATAATACTCCCAGTAATGTGACTGAGTGTGTAACAGAGCTCCACAGCAATAATACTCCCAGTAATGTGTCTGAGTGTATAACAGAGCCCCACAGTAATAATACTCCCGGTAATGTGTCTGAGTGTATAACAGAGCTCCACAGCAATAATACTCCCAGTAATGTGTCTGAGTGTATAACAGAGCCCCACAGTAATAATACTCCCAGTAATGTGACTGAGTGTATAACAGAGCTCCACAGTAATAATACTCCCAGTAATGTGTCTGAGTGTATACAGAGCTCCACAGCAATACTACTCCAGGTAATGTGTCTGAGTGTATAACAGAGCTCCACAGCAATAATACTCCCAGTAATGTGACTGAGTGTATAACAGAGCTCCACAGCAATACTACTCCAGGTAATGTGTCTGAGTGTATAACAGAGCTCCACAGCAATAATACTCCCAGTAATGTGACTGAGTGTATAACAGAGCTCCACAGCAATAATAATCCCAGTAATGTGACTGAGTGTATAACAGAGCTCCACA